TGACTGTCTGTAATTTCTAAAATTGGTTAGGATCAAAAGTCCCTGAGATTGTAGATTTATCTTCATTGAGTTCTCTCTTTTTGTGTAGGGATCTCTTTTCTTTGGCCAAAACAGATATTCTATCCATCATTTTGGACATTTGTTCTCTTATTTCTCGTATCTCCTTTTTCTCTTCAATGGGCATACGATCTTTGGGTGCATAGCTCTCCTCTATCTTCGCAGTTCCCTCAGGATGTCATTCCATGGTTGCTCATGTTTTGTTCGATCATAAAACTTTTTGTCCATTTATGATTTCTTTCCAATTTGACGAACAGTCTTTCAAGTCAACACCTTTTGGTTATGCCATGATCATGCAATGCAAACAAAAGAAATCAATACAAACAAGTTAGAGCAAAATAACATGTATGAAAAATAAAAATGAGAAAGGAAAAAATAAATTGGTTAGTACCAATACTCTACCTATCATGGTATATAATATATCCTAACCTCATGCTTTCTAGTTCCATGCTTTGTTTGGAAAAATTAACCTATCCGCATGATTTCTAGTTCGCATGCATTTATTTAGAGAGAGAGAAAAAAATTAAAAGTTAAAGTTTATTTCTCCTTTGTGTAAACCTACGGACAGAGGTTCATTACTATCTTAAATTGGGTGAACTTCTAAGGTTTATTATATGCAGGGTTTTAGTTCTAAGAGTAAAGGTACTCGAATTATCCTTGTTGGTGCCCCCTTGGGCTGTTAAACCCTCAATCCTAGTCCACTACAGACTTAAGCGGATCGTGTTCAATTCGAGGGGACACATTTCTCTATGCTTGACACGGAGAATAAATTCTCATGAAGACATAGAGCATATGAACCCCAAAAGTTACTTGCTAGGTCTGACACGGAGAATAAATTCTCACGAAAACGTCGCTTTCACTCCCACTTAAAAGGGACAAACTTGATTATAAAGCTTATGTTATGCAATGCAAGTGATGTGTGTGAGAAGAAATGTTCAAACCTCTAACAAATAAATAAATAATGAAATTTAATACTTGAAATATATATATATATATATATATATATATATATATATATATATTAAAAATAATAAGTATATATATAAAATTTTGAAAATAAAGAATTATAAATTAAATATATGAATTTTTTAATAGAGACAATTTATAATTCATTTTAAAAGCTTGACCGTGTTCCCAGCGGAGTCGACAAGCTGTCGTAACCGGTTTTCTCCCGAGCACGAAATTTTTACTTGGCGGGAAAAATAAAATGAATAAATAAATGATTTTGATTTAAAAAATGTTTTGGAGTCGCCATCGACCTTTTTGGATTAGGTAGGTCGAATACCTAAAAAATTATCTTTTAAAATAGTTTTTAAGAAAACATCAGTTAAAAGATAAACTGATCTGCGTTTTAACCAAAAATTCATTCTTTTTAATAATAAAAAGGGATTCATGGTCGATTACATTTAGGGATGGATTAGCACCCCTATAACGCCCATAATTGATACTTATTAATTATAAATTGTCTCTATTATTAGAAATTCAAAAGTTCAAAAATATATTTAATTCATAATCATGTTATTTCAGATTTATTATTATAATTTTAAGAAAATCTATTAACTTTTATATAAATAAGATATTTATTTATTTAGAAATACCAGAAAAGGACTTCTAGGTGCTTTAAGACAACTCTTTAAAAAATATTAATAAAACATTTTTTTAAAAATAGATTAATATATAATTTATAAAAGTAAGATATTTATTTATTTAAAAATATCTGAAAATGGACATCCAGTTGCTTTAAGACTGCCCTTTCTTAATATTGAAAAATAAATATATATTAAAATATAATTAAAAGTAATTTATAAAATTAAATTTATAAATAGGATTTTAATAGAAAACAAACAAATAGAATAAATAAATAAATATTATATATATATTTATATGACTTAAGATAATAATAATAAAATAATCATGAAAATAATAATTTAAATATATCAAAAATAATAATAAAAACAAAATAAAATTGTAATTAAATAATTATAAAAATAAAAGAAATTAAAATTATAAAACTAAAACATAAAGTATTAAAATTAAATATACTAATTCGAAATATTATGAAAGATAATGGTTAATAGTGTAATTTAAAATAATTAATTAATTCGGGATATAAATATAAATTAATAAAATTATAAGGGATTAAATCGGTTATTTACCCTAAATATTTATATAAACATATCAGTGACTAAATTATAAAGTAAATAAATTTAGAAGACCAAATTAAAATGTTTAGAATTTGATTTCAGTGACTAAAATGGAATGTTACAAAATTAAGATGGCTACGGAAAGGGTTTGTCCATGCGTGCAAATTACGCATATACCCCTACCCAAAACGACGCCGTTTGAGAGGGGTATATAAGACCCAAATGGACGGTCCTTCGGGCCATTCTCCTCATTCTCTTCTTTCCCTCTTTTCTCTCTAACTGAGAGAGTTTACAAAACTCTCTCGCCTCTCTCTTAGGTGGCGTTTGGTTGGATGTAATCCCTTGGAATTGGTGGGAATTGGAATCCAATTTCACCACTTTCCCATGTTTGGTTCAAGTTTTTCAAGGGAATTGGAATCCCTAATAGAATTTAATTCCATCAAATGAGGGAAAGTGAATTCCATCCAAAAATGGATGGAATTCAATTCCCTTGTTGGAGGGAATTGAAATTTGATCATACTACCCTCATTAATCCTTTGGTAACTTATTCATATATTGAATAAAAATATTTTTTTATTATTACGGGTCGGGTCTGGTTTCAAATTCATATATTCGGGTCGGGTCGGGACGGATCGGATCGGGTTTTTTTAAGTTTGATATTCGGGTCGGGTCAGGTTCGGGTTTAGGGTGAAAAAAACCGGACCGACCCGAAAATATATATAATTCAGATCGGGTCGGATTAAGTCATTGTTTTTATTAAATAAAAATAATTTTTTATTATTTCGGGTCGGGTCGGGTTGGATTGGATTTCTAATTCATATATTCGGGTCGGGTCGGATGAAACTTTATTTTGTTCGGGTCGGGTTTTTTTAGTGTGATATTCGGGTCGAGTCGGGTTGGGTTTTTTTAAGTGTGATATTCGGGTCGGGTCGGGTTCGGGTTTAGGGTGAAAAAAATTAGACCGACCCGAAAATATATATAATTCGGGTCGGGTCAAATTAAGTCACTGTTTTTATTAAATAAAAAATAATTTTTTATTATTTCGGGTCAGGTCGGGTCGGATTTCTAATTCATATATTTGGCTCGGGTCGGATGAAACTTTATTTTGTTCGGGTCGAGTTTTTTAAGTGTGATATTCGGGTCGGGGTTTTTTAAGTGTGATATTCGGGTCAGGTCGGGTCGAGTTTAGGTTTATGGTGAAAAAAACCCGAAAAAATATATAATTTTACCTTATATATTTAGGAATAATTACAATAATACCCTTCTATATATAATTTTTTTCAATTAAGTCAATGTTTTTATTGAATAAAAATAATTTTTTTATTATTTTGAGTCGTGTCGAGTTTCTAATTCATATATTGAATAAAAATAGTTTTTGGTATATTTTTTGGTAACTAATTAACATACTCCGATTGAAATGTATCGAAATATTGCTCTATCTTTTGGTAACTTATTAACATATTTTGATTGCGATGATTTTAACTTATAATGTTTATTAGCATAATTTTTATAATTTATTGAAATGAATAATCAATCAATAAAATAAAAATTTAATATTTTTAAATTTTTTTATAATATATTACTCCATGTAAGTTGTAAAATAAACTAAAATAAAGCAAAAAAACAAGAAGGGCAATTCTGTCATTTTACATTACTGAAATCAAATTCATCTGACATGTCTGCGAACCAAACAGAATATAGAATTTGATTCCAATTCCTACAGATTCCAATTCCTTCATAGATTCCAATTCCCTCATAAACATTCCAGCGAACCAAATGCCACCTTAGTTTCCCTCGCCGGAGGGAAACTAGACACCGACCGGTCGCCGTACTCCGGCACCGACCACCGCCGCCGGCCACCACCCACGGTGGCCAGAAATTACAAGTTTACCCCAAATAAAAGCCTAATTTACCCTAAAGCGAAAACCGAAGGTATTTTAGCCTAAATCTTTGCCAAACTGCGTAGATCTAAGGAGGTTACCTTCGACGTTTTTGGTTTCACGGCGGTGTATGGTGGCTCCGAGCTCGCATAGTCTTCTCGGTAAGTCTTTCTCGTCTTTTTCTCTTTTCTTTAGATCTGTAGTTGTCTGGGATCGTTGGTGTAGTTCTTGCTTCTCGTGGTGTCTCTCCTTCTTCTCTCTGTCTATTCTTCTTCTTTCCTTTCCCTCTCCTTTTTGCAGGTGATTGATGATGATTTTATAGACTCGATGAGGCTTTCGTCGGACCAGTACAAAGGGGGCCATTCGGTGAGTCACCGGACTATGGTGGTGACTCACCTCGTAGCTTGCGACGTGGACGGCCGTTAGGGTCTTCTGGAGGCTTCGACGGCGAGGTGGCATGGCACTGTAGTGTCGGCAACAGTTGGACGAGACACCTGATAGAGGGAGTGTCGGCAACGAGCGGCGGCGGGCTTCTGGAACCTTGAGGCGGCGCCGTGTGGGAGCTAGGGTTTAGAAACCCTAGCAATAACCCTAAACGGGTTATGTTTTGCTGGACTAGAACTGGGTCGTCTGGATTGGATCCAGACTTGGGTTAAATCTATTTTGTATTCGGGCTTCAGGGATTTATAATTGTAAATGGGCCTGTAATATAATAATAATGTTAATAATATTATTAATTATTAATAATAATAAATAGTAAAAACGAATGGACAAAAACTGGTGTCTTCATGCTGCTGATGATAGTCGACATGTGAGTCCATAGGATCCACACACTTGTTGGGTACGAAAAAGATAGGGTTCGCATATTCTATAAATAACCTCAGTTTCATGCACTTAACTCTCTATCAAGTATCAACCACCATTTGAGTTCGACAAAGTATCTTTCAAGCTCTTCTCTGAAGTTATTTCACTTCCATTAAAGCTTCAATCCCTAGTTCTTCATCGTAATCCCTTGGTAGTTCCATACGAATTTTCCCAATAGATACGCGTTGGTTCTCTTTCAAAATGGCACCACATGGAGAGGCTATTACTAGCACTTACGCCAGGAGGAACAACTTCTCTAAGCCACCGAAACTCTCCAATGATAGCCTCCACCGGACCGTTTCCGATATCACTTTCCAACTGAGCAAGGAAGTGCTCGATAATTACAAAGAAACCACCATAACGGACGAGAACCAGCTCCCGCCTATATCCGAAGTCGAAGATGCCAAGTGCGAGTGTTGTGGGATGAGCGAAGAGTACACTTCGGAGTACATCGAGCGAGTGCGAAACAAGTACTTGGGGAAATGGATATGCGGGCTGTGTTCGGAGGCGGTGAAAGAAGGGATGGAGAAAAACGGAGGCAAGATAGAGGAAGCTTTGAGTGCACATATGAATACATGTGCAAGGTTTAACAAGCTTGGGAGGACTTTTCCGGCTCTGTTGACAGCTGAAGCCATGAGGGATATTTTGAGGAAGAGTAATAGAGCCAAATCCATTAGCCCCAGGGATAGATCAGGAGCTCAGAAGAATTCTGGTGGGATCGCTAGGAGCTCTAGTTGCATCCCAGCTATTACAAGGGATATCAATAATCTCAAAGTTTCAAACTGATGACACGAGAAATTATTAGCCCAACCCTTTCATAATATTCTTATTAACCTATTTTAATGCCTTCATGTTCAAGCTTTATAGCATGGACCAAACCTTTCTCCCACTTTAAAGTTTTTTGGGTTTGGCTTCAAATGCTTTAGGGTTTTTCTTTGGGCTGCTTCTAATTTTGATTGTATCCCTTTCCCTTAACCCCATAGAGAGCCAGGCACAAGCTTTAACACAAAGGGTTGTTTCTAGTAAGTGATTGTGTTTTTATCTCATTTTCATGTAATAAATCCATATATATATCAATAAAAGACTAACTATTTGTGAATACTAGTCATTTCTAGTTTTAATTGGACTGACTTGACCAGACAACCGACCGCTGGTTAGTCGTTTCAAAGTTTGAAAGGGTCTTTTTTCCATCAATTTTATCAAGTTGGTACATGGCTTAGCAACAAATTCTGATTAGTAAATTGATTAACCTTTGCAAGTGTTCAACCATCCAACAATACTTCATAGTTGAGACGAAACACATGGGTTTTACGACTACAGACAAACAAACCAACAAAAAGTCATTGGGGTGCAAAAGTTCGGACAAAAGACCAGTTGATAAACATAAAGCAGATGCAATGAGCATTCTCTTCATTCAACACTTTCCAAGCTACTGCTCTCTCGTATGAAACCGGTCTTCCCATGCTTGACAAACAGATCCCACCTTGTAGACAAGCAAAACCCTAACACGAAAAAAGAACGTCAAAACAATGAATAAAATTCTGGTGAAATATAATTATCCGTTATCATTATTATGGTGATAAACATGTTCAGTCAAGTTCGAAATAAGAAAGAAATGCTAGACCTGTTGCAGTATCTGTGCGAACTCCATGCAGAGAGTCTTTCATTCATGTTCGTCGAATATCTTCTCCAAAGTCAAGTCCTGCAGAGCCACCAGGGTTGTCTTCAGCATGTCAAGACCAGCTTGATTTGCAAAAGTAGAAATGGGCAATGCCTGCAGAATAACAAATAATGGCCAAAAAGAGGAGAAACAATCAGTCCCATCACTAATATGAAATTTGCTGCTAATGCAAAGAAAATTTTAACCCGAAAGTCATACAAAGAAAAAAGTATCCAGGATTTTCATTATCTTAATGGACTACTTATGTATTACCAGGAAGCACGAGTCTTATCCATTGTATCTTGAATTGTTAAAAGTAAAACTATACCAAGAAATACACATTCGAGTTTAAGATCTTATATAATAATAAAATTCACACGTAAATAATTATTAACATGTTTGCATATTGATGTCATTTTGTGTTTGCTACATTTCCCATGTCCAGAATCTCAGGTAGCGATCGAAATTACCAGTTCTAACTAAAACAAGCACCTTTCACCACAAACATAAAAGCATCTTCGGTCAGATTATACAGGATCAATTTGACATGGTGTCTGCCCCACACGTTCCAACAATAAGAGGAGAAAAACATATTTCATACAGAACACAAAAAAAAAGTATGAAACAGAAAGGGAATGGAGGAAACAAGTATTTCACACATACCTTAAGAGAGCAGCACATGATAGCATCCGAGTGATGCCACAAGGACTTGAGGACAGATTCACTCCCTTCAGTGCTAGATTTGAGCAACTCAACACCCATGTAGACTCTGCAATGTTATCAACAAATCATCCATTGTTCAAAATATAGCAGCCATTGTTACTATCGCAAATGTCGAGCTAAAGCGACATTTTATGAGTGCATGGTACAGGATATCACTGCAACAGTAGACGGTAAATTCAACAAGTCAAAATTCCAAATCTCACAGCACAAAGGGTAAAAGCATAAGAGACCAAATGACAAGTATCTCCTATTTAACACTACATGAACGATTTCGTTTTCTACTGCTACCCTTTCATAATTGATGCAATCACCTATTGAGGTTGAGCCATGTTCCCCAACTTAATATCAAAATAATATTAAATGGAATAAAATTCATCCCAGAAAGACAAGGTAGGCTGAAGTACCTATAACTTTGGCAGATCCAACGAGCAAGAGTCTGTGCTTCTGGAGTACCTAGTGGTGTTTGGAGAGCAGCTTGTGAACTTATATATGAAGGAGAAAGTGCCAATGCCACCCTCTGAACTGAAGATATAATACTACGGACATATTGTCGAGCCATAGATGCTACATGTTCTTGAAGATAGCTCTCAAAGGCATACTCAAATGCTATGGTCATCACCGACCTCATACAGCCAGCATTAGCATAATAATCATTAGATGCTTTATTTCCAGATGGCCTGATCTCAAGAGCAGAAGCTAGGTCGAGAGTGCGATTTTGACTAGAGGCTTCCTGCATCAATTTCTTGTTAGAGTATGCCCAAAGACCAATCATGTGATGATTGTATTGACATACTATCTTTATCATATTTATTGAATACATACATTACTGTTATTTTCTTCTATTATATTTCTATGTATTAAATAAACTAAAAGATAATAATGTCCATATAATAATATGATTATTATTGAAAGCTCGCTAGTCGAGTATTATTATGGGCATGGACAATAATAATACGATTAAGACTAACATGTTGATTGATGACAATGAGATGTCATTGGTATAGAGATGTCAGAATCAGTGCATGAATACGTTGTTAGAAAATAATATATTGGATTGACCCACGATGAGCATATGTCTTGGATTATTATGTAATGGTCACAACATTGCTCATGGTGATGACTATATGTATGATCCTTGGACTTGAGATCATTACTATCTCAACATATATTGTTGTATGTTTTGATACGGTTAAACATGCTCCGTAACTGGTTGCACTATAAAGACTGATATTGAACATATCTTGATAGATGTAATAGGGTGTAACACCCCCAGACCGATGCGAGTAACCCGATCTTATCTGAGGTGTCACATTAAGACCACCGGAGTGACTCGCAGCAAAAATGACAATTACAGAAAACCATACATATATTAAAAAAAGATTGAAATCATATAAGTTCCAGACTCAGTATAAAAATCAAATTTGACATATATACCCTCTAATTACACTTGTATCGTACTCTGTAAACAAAGCCGAATGAACTCCCATTACTGAAGTCGATAGATGTATTGAATCAATCTTTAACCTGAAATGGTGAGTAAAAGAGTGAACTTTGGGAAAGCTCAATAATACAAAAATACCATAAGATGCTAAAGAACAAGAAAATAAATGGCAAAACATAAAACTTGTTTATTGATCCATGCATATACAAGTTCCAGTTATTAGTTGAGATTTCATTATTAAATATTCAGGTGATCGTAGTGAAACTTACAATTCAGAGGAGATGTTTAGAGGGCCAGGTTCAAGATTGAAAATGGATGTTTAGTGGGTTCCCATAAAACAGAAATGGTTTATAAACAGTAGTTTATTTCAAGAAAATATTTTTTTTTAAAAACACAGTAATACCCTCCAACCAAACACTCCATATACAGTCCCCCAGAACTGCAACCAACTTAAGAGAGCACCTTGGGTCCATAAGGACTTGCCCTAGCCGAAACATAGAAGCCACCCGAGGGGAGTGCCCCTAGGTCCATAAGGTCTTCCCCTAAGCCCAATGGGCGTAGGAGTCAACTTAAGGGAGCACCTTGGGTCCATAAGGACATACCCTAAGTACAAAACAAATGAGCCACCTGAGGGGGTGCCCCAAGGTCCATAAGGTCTTACCACTAGGCCCATTGAGCCCAGGAGCCCACCTAAGTGTTGTCTTAGGTCCGTAAGGATTTACCAGCCTAATTAGGACTGAACTTGCAGAACTCCATAACATATCCCAAATAGTACCCCAGTATAAATCAGATTAGCCAGTAAATAAAAATATCAGAATCAGGAGCCAGATGTATTCAGTATCAGAAACCATATATCATAAATCAGAGACCAGAAAAAGATCAGTAACCATGTTTTTATTTCAAATATTAGAGTCATATTTTTTATAAATAGAGAAAATACACATGAGTACAGGGAACACACTAGAGGATCTAGATATTTTTTTGGAGGCTCTTGAGAGTTATCAGGAATGGAAAATGTGAAACTTATGTAGATTGGTTGGATTTCAGAATTGAGGTCCTTATTAAAATGATTTGTTCATTAACATATCCAATCAAATATTCAGGATTTAATGCTTCAGGACCATTTAGGATTCCAGGACCATTTAGGATTCCAGGTCCATCAGAAAGACATTCAAGAATCTTACATCAGAATTATATAAGATTCAAATATAACACACATAATTCCATCATTCATGCTATAAGAGACATTTCAAACATATGATTACTAGTGGATTCTTAGTAACTTAATCCAATAAGGGTAAAACAATGATTTACAAAATTCAAGATCCATGACGATTTATCAGGTTATCGTGTCAACTCGAGCTAATCAAATACCATCACTGCGATACATGTCAATTATTCAGACTATGATACCTTACGAATATTTACTTTTTAACACTGACTACACTAATTGAATTGATCACCTTCAGAGTCCTCACTGAATGGATCTTGAAGAACTGAACTAATATTTCGATGGTATTTATTTCATATCTTTATTGTAATAATTTCCAGAGTAACCACGTGCTTGGGTTGTCTCAATAATCTTTAGGTCATTACAATATTTAATGCTTTATTGGCACTTTTAGAACTTGACCACAAACACTTCCTTAATCCATATCATGGGGATATTTGGGTCATTTCAAAGCTCGGGTTATTCTGGTCACTTTGGAATTCATGTTATTCTTGCCTAAAGGGTAATTTGGTTATTTTGTTCGATCCAAGCGTATGCATTATTTCTGATAATTTTGTCTACGGATATGTGTCCCCAAAAATCAAAAATTTTAATTCCTTTACTTTTTCAAAGGTTAGAAATCGATTATTAGAACATTCCAATCAAATCATGAATTTAATATATGAATCTATAGTTCTATCAAGACAAGAATGAATTCTTAAGTCATTTCCACTATCGGGGAAGATTTAGGTCTCTTTTTCATCTCAAGGGTATTTCAGTCATATAATTCAATTATGGCATTTGCAATATTTTCGAGAAAATAGTCTCCAGGTATTTATTCAAGAATCCAAATCTCTAAGTCTTTTGACACCTATGAGGTTAATATCAGTTATCCATATTTTTCTAGACAAAACAAGTACCT